GACTTCAGTGACTAAAGCAGACTGCTATTTAAATCAGTAAGGAAAGAGGCACAAACCCTAAATGAGAGTAAAGATCTGACAGCAAAGGCATATGTCAAGAGATGACCACAGAGTAGGGATGTAAAAGTTTAACAGTGTAAACGATTACCCAATAAGACCCGCCTTACATGTTAATGTTCAGTTTTACACAGGCTCCCATCTGGCTCCTGGGGAGCTGACTGCTACCTTTTTATCAGAGGCATCAGCGCAGGGCAGTAGCCAGCTCCCTGAGAACAGGGCTGCAGGTGGAACAGGTACCATCCTTATATCACAGGCAGCAACCCTGGCGGCAGGTAGGAGCTGGCACGCACAGGGAGCCAGTGGAAAAGCAGGTGTGCCAAGTGTCGCCTGGCAAGCACCCGTATAACCACTGAAAATGTCAGTGGTTACGTAATTTCATGCATTTTAACATCCCTCCCGGACAACTGAGCTACGTCTACACTCGCGGCTTCCTGCGCAAGTGTTCTTGTGCAAGAACACGTCCACACTGCCACGTGCGCGCTGTGCTTTTGTGCAAGAGCGCCCGTGGCAGTGCGGACGCTTTCTTGCGCCAGAAAGCTCTGGTGGCCATTTTAGCCATAGGGCTTCCTTGCGCAAGAAACCCCTGCGGAGCGTCCACACTGCCCTCTTGCGCAAGAAGGTTTACAGCTGTCAAAGAAGAGTGTAGCTCTTGCACAAGGAGCCCTCTCTTACCACTCCATACTGTAAATTTATTGCACAAGAGCAGGCAGGCAGTGTGGATGCTCTGCAGATTCTTGCGCAAGAATGGCTGTACTTGTGCAAGAAGCCGCGAGTGTAGACATAGCCTACATATTTCGTTAGTCTTTAAGGTGCTGCTAGACTATTTGTTGTTTTTAAAATTTTTCCAGTTACAGACTAACTTGGCTACCTGTCTGAAGCTTTTAAAATATTTGAATAATATCAGTTCACCATAATCAGAAATTTTTCCCATCAAATCCATCAGCATTATCTCTGGGTAAACCGGTAAAATAATAAGGTATAAATATAAGAATCTTTCTTGCTAGATAATTTAATAGACTCTGAGATAATTTATTTTACTGCTCAGGAGAATTTGTTTCTGTTTTAGTTATTACTATTCTCAGTACCGACAGAGCAAGAAGCAATGGTCTCAAGCTGCAGTGTGGGAAATCTAGGTTGGATATGAGGAAAAAACCTATTTCAATTGGAGAGTGGTGAAGCACTTGAATGGGAGGTGGAACTATTTCACCTAGAGAGGTGGTGGAATCTCCAGCCTTAGAGATTTTGAAGGACAGGCTAGAGCAGCAGGGCTGGTGGGGCAAGTGGAAAAGGAAAAGTTATTTATTTCCTCCCCTCACCCAAGAAGTAGGGGTCACCCAATGAAATTAATAGGTGGCAGGTTAAAAACAAACCCCATGAGGGACAGGGTGCACCTTCCAAAACCAGGCAAGCAGATCACCGATGTTCCTGGACGAGGGAGTCCTGGTTAGGAGCCCCAGCAGCAGCAGGGCTGGTGGGGCAAGTGGAAAAGGAAAAGTTATTTATTTCCTCCCCTCACCCAAGAAGTAGGGGTCACCCAATGAAATTAATAGGTGGCAGGTTAAAAACAAACCCCATGAGGGACAGGGTGCACCTTCCAAAACCAGGCAAGCAGATCACCGATGTTCCTGGACGAGGGAGTCCTGGTTAGGAGCCCCAGCAGCAAGAGAGCGGGCAGCTCAGTGCCCGCCGGGCCTTGGACTAGGGCCAGAGCCCCACTAGTAGGGCCAGGGCTGCAGTAGCGGAGGCGGGGCCAAGGCAGCCGGGCAGGGGCATGACTAGGTCCGGCAGTGAGGAACCTCCCCTAGTCTGGCAAATTCCCTCATTCTGGACCACTCACCTTCCAAGGGTGTCAGACCAGAGAGGCCCAACCGGTATTTCTTCATACAGCCCACAGTCCAAACTCCTTGACGGAGGATGCTGTGAAGTCCAGGACATTAATAGGGTTCAAAAAAAAAAGCTAGATAAATTCACGGAGGATAGGTCCGTCAGTGGCTATTAGCAAGCATGGGAAGGAATGGCATCCCTATCCTCTGTCAGAAGCTGGGAATGGATGACAGGGTGGATTACTTGATTTCCTGTTCTGTTCATTCCCTCTAGGGCACCTGACGTTGGCCACTGTTAGAAAACAGGATACTGGGCTAGATGGTCAGACACAGTACAGCCATTCTTATGTTCATGAATAGGTGCAGGTCCCCCTATCACAGGGATGTGCGAGTGGCTTTCAGGAGCTTCCAGAGCTAAGCGCTGCTCTCCTCATCCCTTACCAGACCCCAACGCCTGCCCCAGCCCACACCCACACTGCCTCCCAGTGCCCACATGTCCTCCAGCATGACTCCCTTTTCCAGCCCAGAGCCCATATCCAAAACCCCCTTCCAGAGCCCACACCTTCTCCCACACCCTGGCATCCTGCCCCAGCCCAAACTCCCTCCCAGATTCTGCACTCAAATCCCAGGTGAAAGTGAGTGAAAGTGGTAGAGGGTGAAGAGGGGTGAGGCCTCGGAGAAAGGCAGGACAGGGCAAGGGTATTTGAGTTTGCACAATTGGACAGTTGGCAACCCCACCAGGCAGGCATGTAAAAGCTCTGTCTGTGTGGAAGAATGCACCTAGCAGCTCAGAGGCACCAGCCAGCGCAGGCGCAATACCACTCCACATGATCTGCCTGACATTTGAGAGGGAACCTATTGACTGGAACTCCAAATTACTGTCCACAGGCCTGCTCTGCCATCCCCATCCATCTCTACCATCAATGCCCAATCTGATACTAGCCCTGCCTACACCTACTAGTGCCATTCTCACCACCACTGCTGCTATGGGCACCCAGTGCCATCTAGCTCCCAGCTCCCCAACATGACATACACCCATCACTGTTCCCCAACCAATCTCCACCCTGGTCAGTGCCTTCCCCAGCAGCACTTCGGCCATCCCTGCCCCCATCACAGATACCCGCCATTCACCTAACACATTGCCAACACCTGCCCTGCCACCTCCATCACCAATAGCATGGTCATGCCCCTGTCAACATATGCTGGCAGCAATGCCAGTGACATTACCCCTAACAATATCCCAGGCAGTTGTGCATATCCTCTTGCAACTCCGAATACACCCTCTCCTGTACCACCATACACCCCAACAGTAATAGGTTACAGTAGGCCAAAGGGGGTTTGATTACCATACGAAGAGATAAACAGCTTTACACAGACATGTGTCATGGCCATTTTATTAACAATTCAGAAAATGGTAGCAGGGAACTGCTAGCTCTTAATTACCATGATGAACAAATCATTACAAGTTTACAAAAATTATCCAATCACATGCCTAAAACCGTGACAAAGTAGCCCATTCAGTGCACCCATTTGTTATCACTGATAGCACTGCACAACTTACTCCGTGCAGACACGTCATCACACAGATAATTTAATCAGTCAAAACTCGTTTTCTATTAACAAAAATAAGTTCTGTACAAGTATATTGAAAGGATCTCTCTGCAAACAGTTCTGCTGTTTTCCAAGCAATGAGACAGTACATTGTTCTGACGTTACTGGACAGCACATTTTCCCCCTTCTAACTCTAGCATTTCACTGAGCCACAATGACCTACCGAATTGTGTTCATGTGCAGGCTAAGCTGCATATAATATGGCTGCTAAAAATGTGCAGGAAGGTCTATGGACACAAGGACTTGAAGTCTTAGCCCAGCCTGCAATAGATATAATTCAGATATCTTGGATGGATTTTTTGAGCCAGGGACATGGCCTGCTTGTGGTTTTTGGCATTGCTCCAAAATCCTGGTTAGAAAGTACACAGGCAAACATAAGCTAAAATGATTTACACTAAATTCCTTCAAACTTTTTTCTCTCTCCTTTACTGCAGTCATGAGGAATAGTAACAAGTCACCAGGACCAGATGGCAGTCACCGAAGTGTTCTGAAAGAACTGAAATGTGAAACTGCAGAACAATTAACTGTGGTTTGTAACCATTCCTTTACATTTCAATCACGTGCTGTACCTAATGACTGGAGGATAGCTAATGTGACACCACATTTTTAGAAAGGGCTCTAGAGGTGATCCTGTCAAGTACAGGCCAGGAAGTCTAACTTCAGTACTGGGAAAATAGGTTGATATTATAGTGGAGAACAGATTTTTCAGACACATAGATAAACATAATAAAAGTCAAGATGGATTCTGTAAAGAGAAATCATTCCTCACCACTCTACTAGAATTCTTTGAAGAGGTCAACAAGCATGTGGACAAGGGAGATCCAGTGGATATAGTCTATGGGCCGTCCTCACTATAAGTCCAAGATATGTTCAAAAAAATTTGGATTTATTGAAACAATGAAGCGGGGAATTTTTTTCCTGCGGCTGACTTCCATTTGTGCTTTTTTTTTTCCGCACAACTTAAGAACCGGAAATGGGAAGACTTATAATGCATCACTTCCTACAAGCATCAGTGACCTTAGTGCAGAATGGATGTATATCAGGGTGACATCCTGTAATTAGATTTCCAGATTTCCTTAAAAGTTCTTAAGCAAAGTAAACTCCCATGGATTAACAGGGTCCTCTCATGGACTGATAACAGGTTTAAAGATAGGAAACAGGGTAGGAATAAAGGGTTAGTTCTCAGAATGAAAAGAGGTAACTAGTGGTCTCCTACAGGAGTCTGTACATATTTATAAATGATATGGAAGAAGGGGTAAACAGTGAGGTGGCAAAATTTGCGGATGATCCTAAACTGTTCCAGATAGTGAAGTCCAAAGTGGACTGAAGAACTTTAAAAGAATCTCACAAAATTAGGTGTTGAGGCAACAAAATGGCAGATGAATGTTAATGTTGATAAATGCAAAGTAATGCATATTGGAAAACATAATCCCAACTATACATACAAAGTGATGGGGACTAATTTAGCTATTGCTGCTCAAGAGAGATCTTCATGTCACTGTGGATAGTTCTCTAAAAACATCCACTCAATGTGAAGCAGCAGTTAAAAAAAGCAAACAATGTTGGGCATCAGTAAGAAAGGAATAGAGAATAAAACAGAAAATATTTTATTTCCTCTATATAAATCCATTATATGCCCACATCTTGAATACTATGTGCAGATGTGGTTGCTTCATCTCAAAAAAGGTATCTTGGCATTGGAAAAAGTTCAGAAAAGAGCAACAAAATTATTAGGGGTATGGAACAGTTGCCATATGACCATGTTCTAATACAGAATCATCCCTGTTGCTCTAGAACAAGAAATTAAAACATGCGGGCTGTGTCTAGACTGGCAAGCTGCTTTTGCGGAAAAACTTGCCAGCTGTCTACACTGGCCGCTTGAATTTCCGCAAGAACACTGGCGATCTCATGTATGAAATCAGTGCTTCTTGCGGAAATACTATGCTGCTCCTGTTCGGGCAAAAGTCCTTTTGTGCAAAACCTTTTGCGCAAAAGGGCCAGTGCAGACAGCTCAGATCTGTTGTGCGCAAAAAAGCCCCGATCGCGAAACCGTGCCAATCTAGACGGTCTTTTCCGCAAATGCTTTTAAAGGAAAACTTTTCAGTTAAAAGCATTTGCGGAAAATCATGCGTCTAGACATAGCCATAGTGTCTTGAACCAAGAGGTGTATGCAGACGTGCAGACTCATTGTCGGTGCACCTGTGTTGGAGTAGCAGACAGGTAACAGTCAATGGATATAGACATGAAGTTTGGGGATGTTTTGGTTAGGAAATGAGCTTTACAGCAGCAGCCAGGCTAGTTTGTGCTTTATGAGAAACTAGAAGATTTGCCTGGCATTGCTCCGGTCCTTCAAATCAAATAAGTTTTGTTTTTCTTCATTTACATCATTGTTCTAGGATGGGGTTGAGGTTCAATATGCAGGCTGCCCCAGGGAGAGAGGACTACTCCATCCCTCTCTCACGGCAGCGGTTGGCGGCTAGCGGGAAAGCACTTCTCCATGGCTGCAATAGCTGCAGCAGACACAGCCAGGGGGAGGGATGCATGTCCTCTGGCTGCGGGACAGGCAAGCACAAAGACAACTCTAAAATATATAGTAGATAGCCATCCCTTTCTCCACCCCTGCCAGCCTAATGGGGTTATACTGTCCCGGTACTTATCTCTAGCCCCTTGCTGCCATCTGTGGTCATTCTGCAATATAACTATCTCTCCTACTAGTCTCCTCCCTTTTCATTTTATGAGAAACAATCCAATTCCAGGCACATCCCATTGTCCTGGTACCACCAAACCCTTACCTTGCTTTATAAAGTTATGATAAAAGAAAGCTGCATAACCAATTTGGTGGTCCTAGCTCTTACCATTTAGGAGGAGTTCTAGAACAAATGGACACACAGACAGAAACATAAATATATAGTAGACTGAAGACCCAAATCCCACACCATTGATAACAAATGGGAACTCTGCTATAGATTTCAATGAGAAGCAGGATCAGACTCTAAATAGTAGGAGGAGGTATGCGGAGATAAAAGTACGGGAGATAGAAAAAGGCAATAAGAAAGTATTATTTCTTTTATTTTCAAGCTTGTTGGACAGTGGAACTCAAAAGATACAAGATGCAGCTGACAGTGTCCTTGAATTGTTGCTTCAGGGAGTTGAACAGCGGCAAGCCCTACCTCCTGGATATGCCTCACTAGAGGGCCAGTTCATGTCCGTCAAATATTCACAAAGAATGGAGGAATCACCAGCACCAGGAATGGGGGAGTTATCTGCCAGGATGGTTTTGTATTGTGCTGTTATGCCACAGCAGAACCAGGAAAGGGAGAACAGTAATTACTGAAGGGCCATAACTTGTTCACCTTCTTCTAAGAACTCATACTGAAGTCAATGGACTATTCTTGCAATCCAAACAGGCTCCTGAAGCATGACAGAGACAGGATATGAATCAACTTCTTCCCACATCATTGTGTAGCCTGGAGCAAATGCACGGTAGAGCCAAATAAATACCTCTCGAGTTCTAACCTTCAGCCTGTCCATGAGTAAGCAGTCTAATGAGCACTCCTGTAATTAGAGCTAGGATACGATCTTAAACAGCCTTGTGAAAATCCAGCATAACAAACCAAAACCTTTCTCCATCTCTGTGGAGAAAATCCAGTATGCCCAAAGCACTGCATAGGATTCCCACTGTGAAGTCTCAGTTGTCATGGTGAGAAGAGATTTTTTGTTGTTGTTTTTAAATTCGATAGAATCTTCCAGTAGTTGAGGTTTGCACATCACAAAGAAGTGTCATCAATACCAGAACACAAGCACCTCCTGTTGATATGGGAAATTCCACTGGATTAGTGAATATTATTCAAAGAGTCAATGTCCTCCTTCCTGACCTTGAAAATGAGACCTCAATCTATGTAGTTTGTCACCATAAAGGAAGCGGGATCTAGTTGAATTGTGTGCGGAGCCTCCACACATACCAAAAAGTTACCCTAGAGTTTCAAAAAAAAATTTTTTAAAAGAAGAAATAGTTCCACTCTCTGTCTCCGTGTCTGGCGCAGAAATTGCAACTGAATACACGGTCTCTGATGGGCCGATCAGGCAACTAATTTCTTCAATGCAGTGGCAAGCAGCTCTGAGAAGCCTGGAGAAATGGATAGAATTTTAAGAGTCAATATTTCAGTGGAAGAAAAACAGAATTAAACATAATGATGGAAAGAAAAGTAGCCTGCTAGGTCACCCAGTCCTTCTCTCAGCCCATGCAGGCTTGTTGCACTACAGCACTATGTAGTAGGGATGTTAAACATCGGTTAACTGAAAAGTCGAGTAACCTCATGAATTCTTATCAGTTAGTCGACTATTCTATAGTCCCCGGGGGGCAGGGCCAGCAGCCAGTGCGCTCCAGGGCCCCACTCCCGAGAAGCCTCCTGCCACTCCACGCTGCTGCCTCTGTATCAGAAGCAGCAGCACGGGGTGCTAGGCAGGAGATGGTCCTCAGTTTAAAAATCAACTCCCCTCATAGACTGGCTTCCTGTTGCCCTGTGCTGCTGCCTCTGATAAAGAGGCAGAAACATGAGATGGCAGTAGTGTTAAAGGGACTCTAATGTTCATAATGTTTATAGTGCAATTGTTGTGTACAGAATTTGGGTAAGGTGCACACTTAAAATGGCGATTGTCATCAGTGACTGGAAAACAAAATGGAGTTTGTGGACAGTTGAACTTTGGCCTTTTCCTACCTTAAGTGTTTGCTCTTGTTACTAAAATTGCACATGGCACACTAGAACTGTGCTCACAGCACACTAGAACTATGCACCTGGCACACTAGAACTGTGCCCACGACACTCAATCTTTTACCACCCAACACACGTGCCAGTTTCCCACCAAAGAAAAGATAAAAGTGCCACACCCTGTGAGAGTGTGCACACGCCTTTTATCAGTGATCTGTGAGGACAGCTCCTGTCAGGCCTTGGGACTTGTTCATCGTCCATCGCCTGTGCAGAAGGGTCAGGATCCAGAGATGTCTCTGCACCAGTCACCTCAGCCTGTCACTTCCAACCAGGATTACATTTCTGTGGTGAAGACCCAGTAAGTACTGTAATCTGTGCCACCATTTACCATCATCACCACGCTTTGGTTCCTGTGGTGAACGCTTGGGGTTCCGAGGGAACACTTGCTGTTCTTCCCCAAGGGCTAACCGCAGCCTAAGGGTCAAGGTAGCAAGCACTGCTTTTACTATCAGCGTGAATTCTGTAACGTATACCTACCCTTATTTGTACCGGGAATCTTTCTATCTTCTTTCTCTTCCGTTTTTGGGGTGGAGGTTGGGATTGTTGGTTGTGGTTTTGGATTTGTTTCATGCAAATCCAAATTTCTACAATACATGTTTACATGTATTTCTACAATACATGTTTACATCCTAAATTTCTACAATACAGTTGTGGTTTTGGATTTGTTTCATGCAAGCGTCATCCTAAATTTCTACAATTCCTGTTTAACTTTAATCTGGACACTGAGTTTTCTTGTGAGGAAAAATTACCGGTGACAGATACGGTGTCGGGGGATCTCCCTTCTGGTAACCAGAGCACTTAACAGTTTCGATCAGATCCTTATCCTAAATTCTAAATTAATTCAAAAGATTCTACTTGTTACGGAGACTCTGGGGTAACGGTAGCCCCAGTCTAGGGTGGTGTCTGAGCTCCCGGACCCAGCATGAGCCAGAACTGAGCTGGGCTACCTGCCCACCCAGCTCCTAATATACTTTAAATGCAGAGCCACAGCAGAGGTAGGTCCTGGACCCGTCGCTAGCCAGCACTGAGCCAGGCTGCTGGTCAGCCTGCTAAAAAATGTACTGGGGGAGAGGGGGAGAAATGTGTGTTTAACCGATAAGCAAAAGCTTATCAGTTAATCCACTACATGATTACATCCCTATTATGTAGTGCTTTATTAGTGCAGTTTTTAAAATGCCAAATGATAGGACTTCCAATGCTTTCCATGACAGACTATTCCACAATTTTCCTGGATAGTCAGAGTATGTTTTCTTTCTAACTGTCTCTCCTAAATAGATAACTGTCCTGTACTCTGGATTTGTCTGCCCAGTGTATCATGCACTAACTGGGCCACACAGACCATAGCATACACTGACATAGTACTGTTTGAAACCAGGCTACATTAACATGCACTAGGGAACGCTGGGTACATACCAGCTGTGTCTCCACAGAGCACTTAGTGCCCACCACACTGGTAAGGACCAGATCCTACACCTTACTGGTCTGGACTAATGCAGACCCCAAGCAATCCCTTTCACAATTAAAATACTTACAGCTCATGCTAGTGATGTATTAAACTGTACCCATCAATTGTAGCGTAATCAGGGTCACCTGTAAAATAGAGATCACAATAAGAACAGTTAATTGTTACCCGCACTTTCTTCAGTCAAGTGCTCAGAGCTGTATGGCTGGTATCAATAGTATTACAGTGGGTTTTTACAGATGAGAAAAACAGGAGCAGAGAAAGAAAATGCTTGATCTAGGCCCGCAATTGGGAAGTAACGGAGCCCCGAGCTTCTGAGTCCCAGACTAGCACACGATACACTAGGCCACACTGCAAATAATAAAATGAATGCTTTCCAAGTAGAGAAGGACCCAAGCTTCAGCTTTCAAGACCAGATCTTAGCTTTCTTAAAGTTCAGGACCATCCATAACCAGGACTTTGATTTGAACATCTTGCTGGATGAACTCCTGACCCCACTGAAATCAGTGGTAAAATGTGGACTTCAATAGAGCCATGATACCGGCCTTTATTTCTAACAGGAGCTTACAGGTATCTGAAACAACGTTTTTAGAGCTATCAGTGGCTAGAGTGATCTGGGGGAATATGAGAATCAGGCAAGATCGCCAATATTTATATGGGTGCGGAATGACAGGCCAAACTTGCAAAACCTGCGAAAATTTAAATATAAAGAGCATTGTGCATTAAAATGCTTGAAAACATGGTTTCTAGAATGACTTGGTGTAACTTACCTGGCTCACTCACAGGGATTGGTAATGGCCCCCTCCTGCACAAAAAACAAACAACACTCATCTCCTTGTTGCTAAATGATTTGGGTTCTTTTATATTATTTAATCCTTTCCCAGGTGTGCTTGGCATTTCCTGAAGACTTTGAATGCCAAGAACTTTGGGTGTTTGGGGTTTGCAAAGTTCGTGTTTCAAAATATGCTGTTATTTATTAATCTCCTTTAATGTCATTAGCAACCAACAAGACACAAGAACCAGATAGCACTTGTCCCATTAGAGCTAGGATTCTGTGGTGTGGTGGGAAGAAAATTGGTGGCTTCCCAAAGCCCTTCACAGTTTGAATCATCGCAAATGGGGCATCATTTAGACAGCTCAATATTCCCAACCAAATCACCAAAGAGTCATTATTGCAACTGACTCCTCTACTGCCTTCTGCTGCAAAGAAGCCATGGATATTAGTCTTCAGGGAACAGCAGAGAGGACAAGGATGTTCTCAGATCCTTTTTTCTCCCCACCACAAACCTGTCCTTCATTGACACCAGCATTCCCAACTTTGGTCAGCAGATTCCTTTGCTCTCTCCATCTCCCAGTGCAGCGGATTTAGATTACTCTGCACGTGGGCATGTGCTCTTAGATGACCCAGCCTTCCAAGACAGACAAAATGGGGCGAAGGGAGCCATACAAGGAATCCAGGAAGTTTCCAGCAGCAGGGATGGGCTAGGGAGCAAAGGTGGTGGCAAACCAGTGCAAAGAGATCAGAGGGTTTCCGGAAATAGAGTGAGACTCAATCCAAGTAAAATTCCCAACCTGTCCTGTCTTCCTGCTGTACATATACTCCTAGTCCCCACCAACTTCTATGGGACCCTGAAAGAGCCCAAGACCCAAACAATTCTGAAAGACTTAAAAGAAGCATTTTAACCTATAGATTCCCAATAGCCAGGCTATTACTTTTATTATGTGTGTGTTGGGTTGTTTTTTCTTACCTCCCTATGACAGGTGCGGGGGCATGATTTCTTGTTGGAGCTGCTTTTCTTTGTGAGTTATAGTAATTTTCATAGACCACAGGAGCTGTGGGTGGAAATAGAAATTAATTGTAAGCTATAGTGCTTCTATGAGTGGCTGGCATGCAATGAACAGCATCACATCTGCAAAATAGAAGATGTATGTTCCTTCCTCACGTCCATCCCTTCCCCCCTCAAGAAGCTGAATTCTTAGAAGCCAAAGCCTATAGAAATGAGGGCAAGTCTACACTTACTGGGAGATTGGTGCTGCAGTGACTGATCCTCCAGGGGTCGATGTAGCAAAGACCTGCTAAATCAACCACTGATTTCTCTCTCTCTCTCTCGTTGACTCCAGTACTCCGCCAGAACGAGAAGCATAAGTCAACAGGACCCCACACAGTGGAGGCTCTGCGGCCACTCAACCTAAGGTATGTCGACTCCAGCTACATTCCTCAAATAACTAGAGTTGTGTAGCATAAGTTGACTTTGCCACGTAGCGTACACCTGTCCTGAGTCGGAGTTCTCTTCCGGGACTGGTGGCCATTGCTTTCTAGTGCCAGGATGCCCCTCTAAAAATAGGCTTCATTTGAGACTAGCATAGAACCAGTATCATCAAGCATGCTTGCTTTCTGTACCAAGCTTTGTTTAATACTACCTATACATTTGCCAGAGCTGAAAAGCTGGTATCTGCGCTGCTTAGAAAAATCTACATCAAGCAGTTACCTGGGCGCATGCTTCCTGTTTTACGGAAATTTACGAAATATTCAATATCCCTCTCAATGCTGCACATTTCTAGATTCCTACGGATTTCTTCATACTTCTGTTTAAAAAAAAAAAGTTATTTTTTTTAAAAAGCATAAAGTGCAGAAACAAAAATTAATTCGTCTTCCTGGGAGGAGAAAGAATGTAATTTGAAGCAGCAAAATAAGTGTTAATAATACAAGAGGCAAGGAGTGAAATGCTTAACCCCATTAAAAGAAAGAGCAGCTTTTCCATTGACTTCATAGGAGCCAGGATTTCTCAAATCCTGTTCCTACTATTCATACCCTCTGCTCCTTGTTTCCCGCCCATTTCCTTTTTTTTTTTTCCTTCCCCACCTCTTCCTTCTCCCCTATTCATTTTGGGTCTGCACATCCTAAACTCAAAACTTCAGTCATCTGAAGAAATGGGCTGTGCCCACGAAAGCTCATGATACCATCCACATGTTTTGTTAGTCTATAAAGTGCTACCAGACCATTTGTTGTTTAAGTTTATCCTGTACAGACTAACTCGGCTACCCCTTGAAGCTATTGACTGGGTGTTCATTACTGCTATCTGCTGGATTGTCTATGCAAGTATCAATAGAGCAAAAGATGTGCACAGATTACCTGACCTCAGCTAGCTGGAATTCAGCAACCGCAGGCAGCAATAGCAGTGAAAACAGAGCAATGCAAGTGAAGAACCTTCCCTTTCTGCTCAGCAAATAACTAAGGCCCTTCAACCCTTTTTTGTTTGACCTACCTCATCGCTCTGGACGCATTGCTGAGAGAGCAGGTTAACGTGCAGCCACAGCGCATTGCGGAAGTAGTTTATCCGTTCGCACTCCTGGGTCTCAAAGAACTGCAGAGATATAGGGGAGGCAAGTCAGAGCATGTTACCAAAATAAGAGCAGCCTCACTCCTAGCCAGCTGGGATTAATCTTGGAAGTTAAAGGAGATGAAGTACATGGTCTAAGCCACCTCCCTGCCAATCCAGATTTAATCCCTACTGTATCCATACTAATGCTTTGTCTAGTCCTGTTTTCAGATGTTCTAAACCAGAGTTCGGGAATCTACTGCCCTTGGGCCGGATCCAGCCCCTGGCTTGCTTTGATCTGGCCTGTGGCAAGGCTGAGAGCTTCCATCTGCCATGGAGTGAGCCAGTACTCATGCTCCAACTCCACAGTAAGTCTCCAAGCACTGACACATTCCCTCTCCCACCCCCCTGCTAGCAAGGCGAGTATCTCAGTCTTGGGGGAGGGGTTGCTTCTCATTTAGGGGGCCAGGTCAACGAGGGGTTGGGGTTGGTTTTGGTTTTTGCTTCCCACTTGGGAGCCAGGTCAATAAGGTTGTTTGTTGCTTCTCATTTATGCGTAGCCCCCAACTGATTTTTATGTGGGTCAGTGGCCCCTGACCAAAAATAAAGGCTCCCACTTCTATTCTTAACAATGATTTAACCTTCAGTCAAACTGAATTCTTCTTGGCATTTTGGCTGAGTCTACCCTACCCTCATAAGGGGCTGGCCTTGGTCTCATGAGTGTGTTCCATCTCTAATGGCTCCCATCCTTTCTTCAAGAAAAATAGATCAACAGCCAGCAACAGCAAACTGACATTCTTTCTTACTATTCCCTTTGGGTATGTCTACACTACCCCGCTAGTTTGAACTAGGAAGCCTAATCCGAACTAGCTACTCCGTGCCGCATGTAGCCGCGCTGCACGGGGTTCGAACTAGCCGGGATTTAAAATTGGCGGCGCCCAGCTTATGCAAATGAAGCCCGGGAAATTCAAATCCCGGGCTTCATTTGCAAGTGTGGTATGCCTACATTACCCCGCTAGTTCGAACTAGCGGGGTAGTGTAGATATACCCTTTGATACCACTACATCCATGATCACCAACCCGTCGATCGCGATCGACTGGTCAATCCTGGGAGCTCAACCAGTCCATCGCAAGGCTTCTGGGGGGTTCCCCTTGTTGCCCCCCACACTCAAGATGAACCCCTCGCTGATGCTAACTCCAGGGACAATGGAGGTAATGTGGGCTTCCTGCAGGGTGGAGGGAGTTCTGCAGCTGCACACCAGGTCCCAGAAGTGTGCGAGCTGTTCTTTCCCCCTCCCCAAACAGTCGGCACGCCAGTCCATCGTGCGCTGTAGACTTTATTCCCTTGCTGCCTTCCTGTGTGGGGGGGAGGGAGGAAAGGGAATGGGAGTCTGGGACCATGCCAGCTCCAACTGCTCAGGCAGCGCCCCCTGCCACAAGGGAGTGGAGGAGCAAGGTGCACGCTGGCCGAGCAGCTGGAGCTGGCGCAGTCCGGGACTCTCCCAGCACCCGCGCCCCCCCAGGAAGGCAGCAGGGGAAGAAAGTCCCTGGTGCGTGATAAACCAGCGTTTCAGGTACCATGCTGCTGTTTGGGGGACAGGAGAGCAGCCTGCACACTTCCTGGGCCTGGGCACGCAGCTCCAGAATCCCCAGCAAGGAGCACAAGGAGGGCAGCACTCAGGGGCAATAACACTCTGCCCCCAGAATCTCTAGAGCGGGTGCTCTGGAGGCAGGGGGTGGGGCAGGGCCAGTCTGGCCATTTGGGAGCCCCCCCGCGGCCCCGCCCCCCCCCCCCCCCCCCCAAGCCCCCACAAGTACCCTGTCCCCTGCCCCAGAACCCATTGGCACCCTGTCCCTTGCCACCACCAGCATAGCTGGGGCCACATTAGCGAGGCTTGAGGAGTTTCGAGAGGATGTGTTTTTGTATCTCACTTATGGGGCCCCGACTGACTTTTCTGTGGGTCAGTGACCCCTGACTCAAAACAGGTTCCCCACCCCTCTCATAAATGAAGACAATGCTGAAACCTTTTGTGTTTGACATAATATTTAGAAATGAAGCCTGGCCAACAAGTCCCCAACTGGGGCCAAGCCCTCATCTGGCCACAGCATCGTAATACTCCAGTACCTCCCACCCCGACCCCAAATCTGAGCCTATCATACACTGGAACCCCCTGTCCTGAGCCTCTCACATCCCCAAACTCCTGCACCCCCATATCCTTGGGCCACAACACACTTGCACCATTCACACACTGCAAATCTGTGTCCTGAGCCCATCATACTCCTAACCTCCCTGCCCTGACCTCCTCACACAACCCAACCCAAACCCCTGCACCCTCACATCCTCAAGCCTATGGCTTGCTCAGCATCCCCAACCCTCCACCTGAGCCCAACACTCCCCACCCTGGAGCCCACTCTGAGCCAGCATCCCTTTCTCCACCTCCTCCTGCATCCAAATTCCCTCCCAGAGCTTGCACCTCTCACCTTTTCCCCACACCCAAATCCCTCATTCCCACCCCAGAGCCCACACCTCCTGTCTCAACCCTGTGAGGGTATGGCTAGACTACAGGAGTTTTTCCGGCAAACAACCTCTTTTGGCAGCCCCTGTATTCCTCATTCCACGAGGATTAAAGGGGCTTCCAAAAGAAGGGGTTTTCCCGACATTTGGCCCACTCTAGACGGGCCAAACATCAGAAAAATCTCTTCCAACAGAAGGATAAAAAAAAGCAGCAGTGTAGCCGTATCCTGAGAGTATATAAGGGCCAGAGAAAGGGGAACTGAGAGGGCAGAGCCTCAAGGAAAGGGTGGGGTCTTGGGGAAGGGATGGGGTAGATCTTGGCTTGTCCTGACATTTAAAAAGTGATCTTGGGTGTTAAGAGGTTGGAAACCATGGTGTTAGACCAAGATCACCATCAGCATACATGCAGGCAGGTAATTCCATTTTAAGAAGACAACGCAAACTGGAAGAACGAACAGCAATATTTTCAGGAGTCAGCACTGTTGGGAATGGGCTGATCTGAATGAATAGTTACTCCCTTTTAGAGTATTTTTTAACCCTGAGATCACAGAGCACTTTACCAAAGGAGGTCAGTATCATCAATCCTATTTTACAGATGGGAAACCGAGGCATGGAGAGATGGTGTGACATGCCCAAGGTTAGCCAGTGTCAGGGAAGGGAATGCAACCCAGCTGCTCTGTCTGGAACAGGAGTGTGACCAATAGCAAATGTGATGTATTGATGCTTAAGCAAATGCAACAGTATCATGGGTGTGCCAGAAACCTCAAGACAAATTCCTTGCTGAACAAAGCAACTGCTTATTCCTGTTACCTTTGTACTGTCCCTGAGACTTGAAGGCACTCGGCAGGTGATATTTTACCTTATATTCCAAACCCCCTCAGCCAGGATTCACCTCTCTTAGACTGGTACAAAATCAGGAATAGCTCTACACTGGCGTAACATGTGTCAGCAAGAGGAGAATCAGACCCTTTGCTTTTAAAGCACCACATGCATTATAGTAAGGGGGGATGGAGGGTGGCACCAGACTGAGAATCATATCTGATTGCTATCCGCACAACTGCCAAGAAGGCATGTGTCACTTTGGGGAAATTATTTCATCTCCCTCAGCCTATCCAGCATTGTAGTAAATAATCTAGGGTTTCATCCAGTAGATGGCAGCACACTATGAATAAAAAAGCCAGTGGAAAAAAAAAAAAAAAAAAAAAAACCCAGCCACACTATTTTGCATGCTGACAATTTTATGACTTTGTATCCAGAAGCCAAGAGCCAACATGCAAATTTAACTGGAAAGTGTCTTAAAGTTTTCCCAATAAGGTACGGTAAGGTAAGATGTAGTCCCTCACTAGCATTGGGATTTCATTTCCTTTGCTGCCGATCTCAAAACCAAAGAGTGTTCCAGCATTAAAGAACCTACATTATCTCTAGGGTGTACGGCTGCTTTTACCTCACAGGCTTTGGTGTGTTCATTCTGCCATTCTTCCCTGATCTTCTCAAGCGCACCAACACTCATCTGATATGTCCTGTCTGGTAGGGAAACCCAACAACAGTTTGATCACATGTGTAACACACAGGTCTGGATGCATGAAAGACGTAGGTAAACAATTCTAAACACTAATCAGAATATCTTGGACTGTAGGTTTAATTTGGGTCTACAGATGTGAAATGAGTTTGAAACTCATTTCACAAGGAGCAAATTGTGTAATTACAACACAGACACACTTTCACCTAGAAAAGCTAATCTATTTCAATCCGTTCTAAGCAGCAGCTGCTCTTAATTATTAAAAGAAAATAATCAAATATAAATAGAATATTTTAATTATATTCTCTCATACTTGGACATGATAGAGCTGTAGTGAATTTTAAAGTACTACTACTACTGATGGGTCATGCAATAATTCAATAAAAATATTCAAAAATTCAACATGCTAAATGATATTTTGAAATTCCAAAATGAAATACAATTTCAAACACAAAAAAATTCCCGAACTGAAACTTTCCAGAAATTGTATTTGAAATTTCCCAAACAGATCTGTTTTCATATTGAGTGAGAATAAAAAAAATTCTGAGGTTATGACATTTTCTGCAAACCAGAAACTCCAATTTTCAAACAGTTCTAGTCCAGACCATGCCACAGAAAGAAAACTCTGACATTTTCCAAGACAAACATGTTCCAAAATGGAAGTATTTTTAATTCAAACTATTTTTTTTCCTGCTGGAATGTATGTCACAACTGAATAACTTATGTCAAAATTATTCCAAATTTGACAAAAATAGCATTTGCCACACACAAAAAAGTTTCTACTGAACATTTCCAACCAGCTCCAAATGGGCCATTGTCTCATCACAAGGAGACAATGAGTCATCATGACAGGATATGACCTCTTGGGGAAGGTTTATCCAGCAGGTAACTATGTGACCCACTGTTTTGGGAAAGGGAGGTCTAAAACATTCACCCCAATAGACCAGTCCTGTAATGCATTCTCCTGGAGTCATCCCTAACTGATAGCCCCCAGCATGTCCCAATCCCTTCCTCCCCCCAAATGTAACAGATACCCCATGTTATCAGCACTCACCAGAATCCTCCAGAGCTGACTTGCTCTGAGCCAACTTTACAAACAGCTGAAGAAAAGAAAAAAGAAAAAAGATAAAGGGGCCATTGTGAGGCAGCAGCTCAACCTACAAATGCTGCAGAGAAACTAAGGTTGGACATCATTTCTATCCTCCAAATCCATCCTTAACCAGAGGTGATGAAGTTAAACCACCAACCCAGAATTTTATCCCTGAGGCTTGTGTTCACAATTCTTCACCAGTGGCTCAAATCTCCTGTGCTGGCTGTCAGCCATCAGGCCTTCAGATAGCTGCCAAGCAACCAGAAACACCTCTGAACTCCGGTCGATTCTCCTACCAGAGCCTCGGTGCAGGGAACAAGGGCGGTCCTGTGCAAATCCAACTGCAGGGTCAGGGTCCTTGTTTGGCAGGTTTCTTAGAAACGGCAGCCATTATCTTGAGTTCTAAAAGGGTATTTTTTTCCTGGAGGTGATTTAATTGATGAAACCTGTTGATGGAACAGTACTTAAAGCAGCCCAGGAAAAATGTCTTCTGTTCACCCTCCATCGGTTACCTTTTCTTGTTGCTTTTGTGTTACAAGATTTGCATTGCGGTGCACAGCCTGTTCTGCTTCATCTTTATCCCTGCATCGCTGCTCATACAGCCTCTTTGCCTAGGAGAGAGGTGTGTGTATATAAGTGAGTGGGAACTGCAACACAAACATGGCCACTAAACTGTTGGATCAAATCCTGCACTCAAGTTAAACCAAGTCAACTCTAGGATCTGCCATATACATCCTACATCTGGTGGCCATCAACATCTGTGCTTCAAAGGAAGACAAGTCCTTCAAATGAAGGCAGCCAACTGAGCAATGCTGTGTACATAAGGACACCTTTCCTTCCTGACCCCAGATTGGTTAATGCCCTGAAGAATGAGATATGATCACCCTCATCACAGCCTGCATAACACAGCTAGCCCCACATTCATTTTCCTCTCACATTCTTTGTACTTTCTCTGTAGCTCCTGATCTGCACACCACTTGCCAGGTGCGGGAGAAAAAATACAGTAAAGACATAGGGCCAAAGCCAATGAAAGATTTGGTGGCTTAGTCAGCTTCAGTGCTTGAACACAGGACGTTTGCTTATGCAAATACCACAACCACTGTTTAGCCATTCAAAATTATTGTAGGTAATACAAACACTGTTATACATCTAATGTGCCTGCATGCTGCAGCTCTGTGGCCTGTGGGAACCAGATAAGGATTGCTTACCTCCATTGTTTTCTTATACTGCAAATTCCTGTTTTTATGAATAGCATCCATTATAAGCTCTATCTGTGAAGGGAACAAGACCAGCTTTAGTGCACCATTCACCCTCAGGAGTGCTGCCAAAGCGCTTAGCAACTAAGACAGCCGCCTTGATAGGTTTCCACTTCAAGTCCTGTTCTTTGTATGTCAGACAACAACTCGGCAAAGTGAGACCAGCGAATCACATATTGATATATTGTATCACAGGACTAACACCATTCATGAGCAGGGCCCTACTCAATTCACAGCCATGAAAAATGCATCATGGACAGTGAAATCTGGTGTCCTTCCATCAGATCTGGTCTTCTGTGCGTTTTTACTCCATACTGTACAGATTTCACAGAAGAGACCGGCGTTTCTCGAACTTCAGGGAGGTTATGGTATTGTCATCCTTCTTTCTGCACTGGGTGAGAGCATCAGAGCTGGGTGACCAGCGAGCGGTGGCTGTGGCCAGGCACCCAGCTCTGTAGGCAGCGCTTCGCCAGCAGCAGCATAGAAGTAAGCGTTGCACTATCATACCATGCCACCCTCACTTCTATGCTGCTGCCTTCAGAGCTGGGCAGCCAGACACTGGCAGCTGCTGGCTGGGGGCCCAGCTCTGCAGGCAGCAGCACAGAAGTAAGGGAGGCAAAACCACAACTCACAAAATAACCCTCCCATACACATAACATTGTTAACACCCCCACAGCCACAAACTTTTTGACTCAGGGCCCCTACAATGACAACCCCGTGGCATTTCTGATTTAAAAAGTGGAAATCATGACATTTACTATTTCTGAAATCTTAGAATTGTGAAAAGGACCAAAATAGACGGTAAATTTGGTACAGCCCTAATCATGAGGCCTGGCAACCTCAGTGAGCCTTCTCCCTTCTGTTTGGTATAAACTGTACAACTTTAACTGCTGATTAACTATGGTTATCCTTCCCTTCACAGACAGAGGGCAAACTAAGGCACAGAGGAGTTAAGTGGCTTGACCCAAAGTCCCACAGGAAAGTCAGGAATAGAACCCAGCTTTCCTGGATCCTGTTCATAATACAATCTGCTAAAAGCTTGATTTTCAGCTGTGTTCCAGATCCCATTGAGAACAAAGGCAACTACTGGGTACGGAGCATGTCTGAACCTAGTCATAGACCACAGCTGCTCCATTAAAAGCAACTGTACATTGTAAAGGTCACTTTCCAAGAGAGGAAGGCCCCAGGTGCAGCTTTTGCTGGGAACTAAAATGATCCATTTTTCCTAAAAAAGCAGCACAGGAACCCAAAGGCAAACCCACACAGGTTGAATGAGGAAGTTGTAAATCACTGCACTAAATAAAATAAAATAAATTAATGGAGATTGCCTATCTCCTAGAACTGACCTTGAAAGGTCATTGAGTCTAGTCTCCTGCCTTCACAACAGGACCAAGTACCATCCCTGACACATTTTTGCCCCAAATCCCATCTGTAAGGATTGAACTCACAACCCTGGGTTTAGCAGGCCAATGCTCAAACCACTGAGCTATCCCTCTCCCCACAGATTCATTGTGGCACAGTTACAGCATTCAGAAATGAACTCTGGACTTGCCCATGAGCTCCATGTTGCTTTAGGGAGGGAAGGGACAAGTCAAAGAAAACCCTTAGCCCAGCAGACAACATACACCCTCGACAGGAAGCTTAGTGCACTTGCAAACTTCCAGTTAAGCTTGGGCTCTCAACTCCTGTGCCCAGGTATAAAGCTAAGGAGTGGGCCATTTAGGGTCAGAGATCCCATGGCGCCATTTCCAGAAGTCAAGGTTTTAATCTCAGCAGTCTGGCCAGACTCCAGCTCACAGAACCACACGATGGCTTCCCAAAGTCCTGACCTTTTTCCGATGAAGTTTTTGCTTTTCCCTGAAGTCCTCCATCTTCCTCGCCTCATCCCGGAGAGTCTGGGCCAGCTGGATGTGACTTTGCCCTACACCATCTACCTCTGCAAATAGAAATAAAATTCCACATGCACAATGACCATCTTGATGGGAGTCACTTGTACGATCCAACACCTGAACACTAGTTGCATATCGAAAACACCTTCTCTGGGAGTTTCAGCTAGAGCCAGTAAAATTCAGCAAGCAAATGACAAACCACTGGGAGACGGGGGATCAAATCCTGCCTCTCTCTGATGTGGGGAAGAGATTTGAACTTAGCTCCACCACATTGTGAACAGCTGCCCTAACCACTGACTAAGGGATAGTCTAGAATGGGGCTGTCTCAAACTTCTCTCTTGAAGCTGCTCCACTGGGTATAAAATACACAGTCACTGGACCAAAAAAAGGGAAATTAACCACCAACTGCTAGTTGGAATACTCACTGGTGAGATCCAAGTTTGCATCTCTCCTTCAACCTGGCCAACGGGCAAGCTGTTTGGTGAATCTAACCCTTCATTTCCTTTGATTTTAAGTGCCCAAAAATGAACCAGTTCATTCTGGGTTGAATAAAACATTTTGTTCAACCCAAAGTGAAATTTTTGTGGGTTTTTTTTTGACTTGCTGACCTATTTTTGGAAATAGTCATTAAGCCTACAAACATCCCTGTGGGCCTATTATACCAACTTTACAGACAGACAAACTGAGGCACAGATACAGGTGAAGAACTAGATTTTGCTAATGGCAACAGTTAGCTTGAGCTACTCCTCTCAAGTTTGCCTAGCTCAAGTGAGAGCAGCCACCTACTGGGAAGCACTCGAGATCGGATTAACAGTGCAGAGTGATTGCATTAGCAGAGTGAGGAGCTGTGCTCAATTGAGATACAGCCAGGAGCTGTGTCCCCACTGCATTACTCATGCTTCACCCCACGCCCTCTCACAGGCCAGCTAAACACCAGCATCTAACGCGAGCTAGAGATTTTTGCACATGGACAGGAGTCCAGTTAGGGGCAGCAGGTGAGTTCTACCTCAAGCTGCATGAACACAAGCGCTCTCACATGGTGCCAGTCGGTATGGACGGCCCATTTTGAGACACTTGGCACCAGACGTTCAGAAGATGAGCGTTTCCAGCTCCCGTTGATGGACCCTGAATCAGAAAACTCAAGAGTGGTTTCCTCTTACTATGACCTCCCTTGACTGGGTATTAGCTGGCCTGGGTTCAGAAGCCACGTGGCTTACCCATAAAAGTTCCGTGGCTCTCAGTTTTGTCCACTATAGAGCACTACACCCAGGACTTAGATATCGGACAGCTTCTGTTCAACAGCAGACCAGGACTGGAAGGAGGCAGCGGCACACAAGGTCAGGATCCAGGAATGCTGGCTGAGTTATGTAGAAGTTAGGGTGAGACTGCAATACTCTTGCGAGCCGCAAGTGGTTCGTTAATGTGTCTCCTACAGCTCTTTGCAACACATGACATGAAATCACACAGTGCTTGATTTAATATTAACTAGGCTAAGTTATTAGCCAAATCAGGATGCTTTTAAGTTATCGACTTAATTGCTGCAAGAATAAACTCTATATATAAATTAAATATTTCTCTGTCACACTGTATAAATAGGAACAGCACTACAATAGATGAAACAATGAATTCACGTGACGGGGGTGCTTTTGGGACAATGCCCATCCCTAATTTGGCTCCCAAACCACTGAAGTCTGAGTATCACTGCTGTAGAGTGATGACTAAAAGAGCACAGGGTGTACCATGAAGGCTGGGTTTTCACTGACACCTTTCACCTTCCAGAATTTTATTGCAAATGAATTGCTGAATTTATAGATTTTTCACCCCACGCAGTTCAAAAAACCGGACCATGTCAAAAGGCCAGTAATCTGCATGACAGCCACACTAGCTTCTACATAGACATCACAAGGAGGTGGCTCGGGTGTTTGTGCACCACTGCCCTCTGTTGGATGCAATCAGAATTGTGCATCTGTGCATCACGAGTAGGGCCCTACCCAGTTCTAGCTGTGAAAGACACGTCACAAGCTGTGATATCAGACCTCTCAGGAAATCCAGCTATCAGAGGGGCAGGGATGGAGGCCCCCCATCCAGGGGCTCCTACTGTTCATCAGTCTCCAGCTGCTAGTCCACAGGACTTCCTCTCCCCTACACAGCTAATCGGAGGGAAATCACCTCTGTGTACCTCGCCTGGCTGCAGAGAACTCTGGGGCTGTACCTTCCCAGCCCAACGCTGAAGACAGCACAGAAGTGAAGATGGCAATCACCATTATCCTTCCGCAGCTCGCAGAACAGCAGCTTTGCAACCTCCCCACTGACCCCTTTTTGCGTCAGGAACCCTACAATTCCAACACCATGGAAACATCTGAAAACGCGAAACTGACCAAATTTAAAACCCTCCCACTGTGAAAACTACCAAAATGGACAGTGAGTTTGGTAGGGTCCTAGTCAAGGACAGGAAAGCCAGTCAGGAAAAGGCTGACAAAACAGATTTCCCATCAGAATCTGAATATCTGTCCAAATGTTTCACAGACACGGTCTGATATCAACAAAAGTTATGACACAACCCTGCTGGATTTCCTGCCAGCTTCTCCATCTGGCCCCAGGGTCTGCAGCCATGTCAGGCAGCCAGCCCAGAATGTGGAGCTCCGTTCCACGACCGATCTCAAAATTTCTGTTTTGGTTTCATTCTGATTCAGAGCCAAGATTTGGAAAGATCAAAAAACGGAATTGCCTTTCCCTGCCCTGTTCCAACAGGCGTCAGCTGGTTCCTCCTTCCTTCGCTCTGGCGGTACGTTCCTTTGCTTTCGGAGCCAAAGGAATCCGGGTCCTAGGCCCACTGATGCCAGGACATGCCAAGCAGGAAGCGTGCCATTCCTAGAGCACAAGGGATGTGCTCTCATGTTACTGCATTCTTTGTGGCCTCACTCACTTCTAATAATCCTGTGGGTTTTGAAAGGCCAGCATTGCTATTGTGAAAGGGAGGAAGCTGATGGCGCAACATAATCTGCTGGGGGAAAAACAGTTATGACTATAATGGCATTATCCACCTAGTGCGAGCCTGTTTTAACATGCTTGTTAGGCCCCCAAAGCTGATTTAGTGGCGCTATCACGCCAGTTATTTCAAACAAGCCTGAACTGTTTAAGAGGCAAGTTTGTCTCTTCAAGAGACTTCTCACAGTCAGTGGGTCAGAATGTGCTGAGCGCGGCATGAAGCACACCACAAAGCTTCCTGTAGGACCCAGGAACTTTTCTGTTTGATTCTCCTCCCTGCCGCTCCAGTTTTCCGACTGGTGCAACGTCAGCAAAGTCGACGGAGTTTCCCCCACTTTTATCCCGTTGTCAGTGGAAGGCCGATCAGGGCCATTCTACACACGTCAAAAGAAAGCAACTTAAAGCACACAGCGCCAAAGCTGGCCAAAATTTGGAGTTTTCAACTCACAAAACGTTACTAGGGAATTTGGTTTCTCTCCGATTTGGAATCTACGGAGATATTTTCTAACCAACAAGCCACAAAAACCTTTGTCTGGGAAACACTGGAAGGTGGCTTGTCCATTTCACCCCTTGCTACTTAGGAAGGGCAGCTCAGGGAGCCCGCTGGCTCAAGAGTCTAGACGCCTTGGGTGTCTGCATGGCCAGGCTGCCTCACGGTCAGAGGTGCAGAAATTGCAGGCTCCCAGGTCCTGGCAGCAGGAGGCTGAGTAGTCCAACAAGCCCCAGATAGAGCCAGAGTTCTCAGGGCTCCTTGCTGTGGAGCTGGGAGCCAAGCTGCTGTTGCTAGAGCTACCGCACCAAGGGCTCTCAAATTCCCGGCTCCCAGCTGGGATCCTGGACTACCTAACATGATGGGGCTGCCCTGGAGGTGGAACTAGAGCCCAGCCTCTTGAGTTCTTGACTCTTAACTCTGGGAACCCTACAGTCCCTGGCTCCAGCCTGTTGCCACCAGGCGCCAAGCAGTCTGCATGTCCCAAAGTGGTGCACCCTGCCACCAGGAAAGCAGGCAGGTTTCCAGTAGAAAACTCCCTGTGTCTGTATACAAGTTTCATCCAACCTATAACTATCGATATCTATTAGTCCTTTGGGTTTCTAATGGAGCACAGGGTGGTTAAAACTCTTCACTCTGCTGCTGAATTGTTGTTTTCCAACTCAACTTCGGTTGCATCAGAAAATTTCCCATCAGCTCTTTGCTATAGTTGGAAAGAGAAGTTTCCAACCAGACCATGCAGTACTGTTTGTCTCAGTGCCCTGTGGGTCCCAGGATACAAGGTGGATGACGTAATAGCTTTTATTTGGCCAGCCCGTGCAGGGAAAAGAGAAGCAGTGTCTCTTATGCAGAGCTCATCTTCTTGTATCAGATCAGCTATTTCCCTAGAGTTAAAAATTAACCACTCCAGTAGGCAGGTTCCCTCTTTCCACCACCAGCCCAAGCAACAGAATAAGCTGTTGCGTCCAGGATGATAAAGGTTAGGTGCCGGCTGGTGAATGGCGCAAACATTTCAGAGTCTCAATGGAACAACCGAGCACAGTCACAAGTGTGACTACATTCAGCCAGGAGCAGCTCTGGAGCTAAACAAAATGCAGAGAGGAAGTCAGTGCTCACTCTGAACACGGCACCCGTCCATCTCCTCCAAATCCCTTCTTAGAATCCCAGTGCTCCCATCAAATAAATTAGACAAATCCAAGCATACAACAGGGCATGTGCTAAACCACACTACTCAGCCAGTCAGTTTGTTTTCTGGGCATCCTTGCTCTTCCGCATCCCCGTGATGTCATCTGAACTATTTTGACGTGTAGCTTCTTAGGGACCCAGCATGTACAATGCAAATGACCCGGTGGGGGAGGGCTCTATGACTAACAATGCTTCCAGCGGTCAGGGCAGACAGGCAAATTACTTCATCTCTCTGTGCCTCAGCTCCCCAGCCTGAGAACCAGAGTTCAGGGGTGATGCCACCTGCCCCCCAAACACCATGGTGGGAATGGCAAGGGGCCGGCCAGCAGCCGCCCGGGGAACTAATGAGGAGACCTGGCACTGACCACAGGGATCCGGCCACCTGCCTGAACCAGCAGTGGCGGGGGGAGGACGCTCTGTTCTCCCAGCACATTGCTCAGAGGAGGGGGAAAGAGACCACCCGTGCACTCGCTGGCAGGAAGCAGAGCGACACGGCTGGGGGAGCAGAGAAAGCAGAGCGACACGGCTGGGGGAGCAGAGAAAGCAGAGCGACACGGCTGGGGGAGCAGAGAAAGCTTCTCTTCCTCTGCTGCTGCCAGTGGTGAGTGCAGGGAGACTGGACCGCCACTGCCAGTCCCTTAGTCCCCCCACGCCTCACCCCCTAGGTGAGACCAGGGTGGTGGGGCACTGTCCCAACCCTTCCCCGGGCTGGGGGGAGTCATGTGGCAGGTGGCTCCCTGGGTGCCCCCTCACCAGTTGCTCCTGCCAGAAATAACACTTCCCTTGCTGATCGGCCCACAGGATGGCTTTGTGGTGGTTCACTGACTAAGGGTACATCTACACTATGCAGCTTTTAGCCACAAGCTTTTGTCGCCAACACAGCCCTGCCTCAAAAGCCAGTGCATGTGAACACTGTCAGCACTTTTGCCAAATAAATAAATACATACATACATACTTCTAGCCCCCAACTTTTGCTTCGCTGACAGGAGAGCACAGCTGACGACAAAGCACCCTTCACACTTCCCATGGCAAAACTTTTATCGTTCAGTGGGGGAGGGGAGTTAAGCACCCTTTGAACAACAAAAGTTGTGTAGATCAACTGCAAGTGCAGACATAGCCTACGATTTGTAAAATGGTCTGAAGAGAACAGCACTGTATATTTGATAATGGCATCATGCTCCCAGGAGCGGCCTGAGGCCAGCTGTGGCAGCTGGCACCCCAGGCGGAAGGCGCGATCGGCGCCCCGGCCTGCATGGCCGTGACGTAATCACGGGGCATCCGGGCCAGCAGCGCCCTAGGCAACTGCCTAGTTTGCCTAGGCTCACAGGCCGCCCCTGCATGCTCCTAGAAACTATCAAGTGGAAGGGACTGCCATGAGGGCAGGGGACTGGACTCAATGATCTCTTGAGGTCCCTTCCAGTCCTAGTGTTCTATGATTCTATGAAAGAGGTAAGAATAGCTGAATATAAGGGGAGGATAGCTCACTGTATCCCCTATTAATCTGAACTTAGTTGATTTCTGAAGTAAATGATAGCACACGTGTGCAGACTTTTTTTCTTCTTTTTAAACTATAGTCCATAGTCCTCCATGCAACCAGATTTCCTGGCAAAGAACAATGTAGAGCTGTTACTTACGTTGTTTAAAAACTTCAAGAGCTCTCTTCAGGGTGCTGAAAAACACAAGCACAGAGTTACAGGGCAGGTGATAAAACGGTCCGATTCACCATGCCACATCATGGCAGCTTCACTGATAGATACTCCCATCCCCCTTAGTCTACCCTGGTAGGCATTGATCCTTTTCACATGCTGCTCACATCCACTCAATCACATTTGCAAGTGCATGTATACGAACACACTGAGAGCACACACACTCCAGTTCAAATAGAGATGTGGGGGTTTCCTGTCTTTTCCTTGAAATATTTTACTCCCCTATGCTGCAGCACAGACTATGAGGCCAGGAGACACTTAATATCACCACATGTGCCAACCAACAGGGCAGTTCAGGATGACATTCCAGCAATTCCATAGGCAGCTTTGGCCCATGCTTGTGTTATTATCATAATTAATATTTGCTAGTGTTGTAATAGGCCCTAGAGGCTCCCACCAAGATCAGGGTCCCCTGTTTTAGGTATTCTACATGAACGTAGCAAAAGAATGCATGCTCTTTAGGGCAGGGGTTCTCTGAACAGACAAGGCAGGCAAAGGAAGGGGAACGGAGGTGCTCTAGCAAACACTGCAAACTCAAAAGAGTACAGAATGAGCTTGCTCTGCTCCCTTTTCGGTGGCTGTTGCATGGGGAGGCTGTAATCTAGCTCCCAGGTCACAGTAGCAGCACAGACGTGGAAAGAATTGGGCTTGTTTATTTTGGAAAGGAGAAGATTTGAGGGGGGACATGATAGTGGTTTTCAGGTATCTAAAAGAGTGTTACAAAGAGAAGGGAGAAAAATTGTTCTCCTTGGCCTCTGAGGATAGAATAAGAAGCAATGGGCTTAAACTGCAGCAAGGGAGGTTTAGGTTGGACATTAGGAAAAACTTCCTAACTGTCAGGGTGGTCAAACACTGGAATAAGTTGCCTACATAGGTTGTGGAATCTCCATCTCCTGAAATATTTAGGAGCAGGTTAGACAGACAACTATCAGGGACAGTAGATGGTACTGGGTCTTGCCATGCAGGCAAGGGACTGGACTTGAGGTCCCTTCCAGTTCTAGTGTTCTATGATTCTATGGTGGCATGGGCTTTAATGCAGGCTGGCAACCCATCAGGGACAGCACTTAGATCATTAGCCCACATTGAAGCCCATGCAACCCAGTCACCACTGCCCTGAACATGCTAACGTGGCCCATAGTACTAAGCCTCCCTGTCAGCAGACTTGGCCTTGCCCACTGGCTTTGAAAAATCGCTGACAGAGGCATCAGCTTGGAAGCCGAAAGTCAGGGAGCAGCAGGGAGGCTTCCAAGTTTGAGCTCAGCCTCCTGCTCCAGCCGCAACATCAGACTACAGCTATTTTCACAGGACTCGCACAAGCCAAGTGTGCCAGCCGGAGCTGAGAGGTGCACTGCCGCGGGCTACGGAGAGATACCTACTGCTACCTGTTGGCAGGATATGCCTACCTGGGGGACAACCACACCATCATGTGCAGCACATGTCTAGGGCACCTAAGAGAGAAGCTGTAGCATGGACATCTCACACTCCCGGCCTGCTGGCCATTCCCAGCAGGAGCAATTGGACAGGGGGCCAGGAGGGGGCCTGTCTATTACCAGCCCCAAACCCTGCTCCTTCCCACCATCACCCTGCCCTCCCCCCATGGCACTTCATTCCTTGCAGTCGTGGCTTAGGGCATCACAAGCAGGACCTCATGCCCCCCCCCCACACACACACACACAGGAGGGGGTGATGGCAGGGAGGGGCAAGGCTGAGGGGGGGATAGCAACAGACAACCAGCCCCACCCCCCTTTCCGTGTTGGACTACCAGGAGTCCTGACCCGGATTGCGCAATTGCTCCAGCCAGGGCTAGCCCATGGGCTGGGAGCTTGAGACCCCTACTGTAGCAGAAAAGGAAGCATAATTATCGTAAAGAAGCCTTGTTATGTTCTCTTACATTAGCAACGTCTTTCAGAGCATAACAGGTTCAGCCCAAACACCCTCTCACTGCCCCTAACACATGCACGTTGAAATGTGTCCCAAGAACGTGGAATCTTTAGGTCCGTGAATTTCAGTTATGCAATATAGAGGGGATCTTATTTCCATTCTTAGTTTACAAAGACTAGTTGCAGGAGGATGTGAGCAAGTAGAGCATACAGCCTTCCACAGACACCATAGCTCAGGGAACTGAAGGGACTTACCCCAGGCCAGCCATGAAGTCAGGAAAAGAACCCAGCTCTCACGATTCCCAGTCCTCTGCCCTAACCACTAGACCGCCACAACTAGTCTTGACTTCCTTTAAGTCAAGTTAATTTCTGGGTAATAGGAAGTTAGTTGACTAGAGGCTACAGTGAGTGGATTCCAATTAGTGGGATGACTCAATCATCACAATCTGATTTTAGAGTCTTTTTCGTGTCTCCTTTCTACATTTCAAATCTCCTTCTAACTTGCTCTCCCTTCCTTGGATTCAGCATCACAGCACACTCCACAAGTGCTCCAAGTCAAGGCAGCTATTGTTCTGAACACACACAGGCATGAGAACACACGCATATATGGGAATCTGAGCTTACTTCAATTCTGTCTGCCCACAGGGCTTCTTCTTTGACAAGCTAATGAGCTCCTTGCCATATTTTTCTTCTATTGTTGCCCTGTTGTGGAAAGAGAGGATGTTAGAGGAAATTCACACAAAATGAGGAGTCTGCAAGTTGCTTGCTATCAAGGCTAGTAAGAGGGGGCACTTTAATGATCGCTGGCTCCCACATCAACTACACACAACCTGCACTGTCTCATGCTACCTTATAGTGTCTTGCTCCATTGTGATTTGACCTAAGAAGCCATGAAAGGCACGGCTAGCTACTCTCCAGGTCAAAACCACCGGAGGACTCTCAGCCAAAAATGGAAGTGGAATATTGTGAATTTCACACAACCCCCTCACCCTCCAATTGTGACAGACAGCCTGCATGTGATTAATCCAAAAGAGCAGCAGCTGAAATTATATTGTCCTGGTTTCCTCGATGGAACCTCCCCCCCAAAATGCATTTTCGGTGGAAAAAAAATAATTTGTCCAAAATAAAAACCACTGAATAGTATTTGGGAGTTCCTTGCTCCCAGACCTGTGTTCAGACATTGCCTCCTTTGAAGCTCAAAGAACATTTCCCTCCCCTTTCCCCTCTTTGGGATTATCCTGGTGAAGTTTATATGGTGGATGGAAAATTGGACTCTGACACTCCAGTGGGAGGTTTCCATGAATCAAGGTCAGGAAGGTCTCGTTGGAATAGAAACACACACATCCCAGAGACTATGAGGCACTGCTGAGATATCACACTAGCCTCTATCTGGAGGAAGACAGAATTTGAACCTTTGGTTGGACCACAGAGGGAGTGTTTGGTCACTTGAATCTAGATCCAAATGGATGCAGGTAATTGCTATGAAACTAGTACATGTGACCCAATAGTATTAAAAATGTAAAGATCCACTGAAACAAATCAGGCAGCTATTTATAGTTATTCTTCTGCCTTCCAAAGCCATCTTTCATATCCTCATCGCTTCCTTTTGAATGAAAAGTCTGAAACCCTCAGGCAGGCCTGCCGAAAGGAGGGGCAAAAGGGGGAACTGCCTCAGAGGTTGGTGATTCAAAGAGGCCCAGATCCCCAAGCCCTTTAAATTGGCAGCATGGGAAGTGGGGAGGGGAGCTGTGGGCTGGGTGGTGCACAGGGCCAGCTGCCCTCAGACTCGCCCCTTACACCTGGGGCCCTGCTCCCCTTGGGAGCACAGACCTGGGTCCTCTTACACTTTGCCTAGTGCCCCAGAGTGGCTCCCCTGCCATCAAGTAACCCCAGTGGGATGGGTACCACACCACAATCATGGTGTTCATTAAGGACTAGTACCACCATGGTCTTCAGACTCACTTCTGCAATCTTCCCTGGCAGCAACAATACAATAAAAACCTGTGGCAGCTGCCATAGTAAGTAGAGCTGTTACAATCTAACAGCCCTTTGGTGACCTATGTGAAATGGATCTCAGATTTCCATTCCAATTCTTGGAATGTACTGGGGACAACTTTTTATTCCAGAAAGTGGAGGACCGGGGGACAGCCATTTTAGACTTCATTCTAACCAAAGGGAGGATTCGGTAACGAATTTGAAAATGGAAGACCATTTGTCTGAACATGACCATGAAAGGAGAGATTTCATTATTTTAAAGGAAAGGAAAAATTGAGAACTGCAAAATAAAAGGAAAATAGACTTCAATAAAGCAGGCATTAACACATGCAGAGAACTGGTAGGTAAGGTCCCATGGGAAGAATGGAAAAAGGAGCTCAAGGGAAAAAACTGGAACTTCCTCAAGAAAAAACATGAAAGGCACAATTGCAGACTATTGTAATGCAAAGGAAAGAGGAGGATTGTAAGAGGCCAATTTGGCACCATTAGAACCTCAAAAGGGAACCCTACAAGAAGTATAAATGCAGACCAGAATGATACGGTAGAGTACAAAAGAACAGCACAAGCAAGGAGGAACAATATCAAAAAGAGTAAGGCACAAAATGGGTTATTCCTACCAAAGCTAGGATTCTCTCTGAACTGTCATTCATGCTCAAATATGACACTTTACACTTAGGTTTGAACAAAGACTATAATTATCTTACCCATTACAAAGATAGCTTCCCCAATTATCACCTCCCCCCCCCCCATCCCCCTTCTGTTCTGAACTTTGATTTGTCCTTTTCATGTGTGTTCATTTTTTAAAATTGTATCCTTTGGTATATATGGTTGTGACAATTTTCTTCCATTATTTGATCTGAGGAAGTGGGTCTGGCCCACAAAAGCTCATCACCTAATAAACCATCTTGTTAGCCTTTAAAGTGCTACATAGTCCTGTTTTTTATCCCAAGGTAAATGACGGCTACCACAGTAATTACTGCAGTGGTTCACAACCTCACCAGGAGCATTTCCACCAACTTAAGAGGGCCATGGAGGATGGGGGCTATGAGCCTGAGTTCTCAACTCTGCACCAAGCTTCCCACCAGGAGTCCTGGCTCCCCACTCCCTGAACTATCTTTGAGACATCTTCATGAATGGGTGTGGTCCCAGAATGGGTGTGGTCTCAGGAGGCTGGGGCCAGGCCTTCACTACAAACTTACCTCAATATAACTATATTGCTCATGGCTGTGAAAAATTCACCTCCCTTAGAGATAATTATACTGACCTCACCTCCAACGTACACAGAGCTAAGTCTACTGAAGAACTTCTCCCATCAAGAGAGTTACCGCCTCTCACAGAGCTGGATTAACTACAGACCAGAGAAGCTCTCCCATCTCACAACAGTCTACTCCTTAATGTGCTACAGTGGTGCAGCTTTTTAAGTATTGACATGCCCCAGGAAAGGGCAAACATAGTACCCATCTTCAAAAGAGGGAGCAGAAAGGAACTGGAGAATTATAGGTCAGCCAGCCTAGCTTCTAGAAGTGAAAAGATACTGAGGCACATTAGTAAGCACTCAATTTGCAAACTCCTGGGCTGTGTCTACACTGCACCCCTTTTCTGGAAAGTGATTAGACACTTCGGAATTGCAAATCCGCGGGGGATTTAAATATCCCCTGCGGCATTTGCATGGTTGCCGTTTTTTTCTGGCTCGGGGTTTTTGCCGGAGAAAAGCGCCAGTCTAGATGCGATTCTCCAGAAAATAAGCCCTTGTCCGGAGGATTTCTTATTCCTATTTTCAAGTAGGACTAAGAAATCCTCCGGAAAAGGGCTTATTTTCTGGAGAATCGCATCTAGACTGGTGCTTTTCTCTGGCTTATCCCCAAGCCGGAAAAAAGCGGCAGCCATGTAAATGCAAATGCCGCGGGGGATATTTAAATCCCCCACGGATTTGCAATTCCGACTCATCTCATTAGCATCCCTTTTCCGGAAAGGGAGGCCAATGTAGACGTAGCCCTGGAGGATAAGAGAGTTACCAGGAATAATCAGCATGGATTTGACAAGAAAACAGCGACCCCATAACTACAAATTGGAATGTCTAATATTCTTAGGTGTGATAACTAGGGCAGTTAAAAAACAGCTATTATTGTAACTATGTAGCCACTAAAAATTTTAGCAGTTACGCAGTGACAAGGGAGCAGGGGCAGCAGGCAGTGTGCTCCTAGCTGCCGGTCCCACTGTAGAGGAGCTGGATGACTCCCTGTCCTACAAACCTTCCATGCAGCATCAGCAGTATGGGGTGGCAGCCGCTTCCCAGAAGCTTGTTTTTAAGCTGCCGCCCTGTGTGTACCAGCTCCTGCCTGCCGCCCCGCTCCCAGGGAACCAGACTGGGAGCTGTGTGTCGATAAAGCGAGGGGAAATGACTTTTGGGTGGGGGGGGGGGGTGTTTCACGTCACCAATATTGGCAGTGGTCGCGGGCCGGCCCTGGAAAAAGAGGGGACTTAGGCAGAAGGGGCAGTCCCCTCCAGGCACTGTGTGCAGGAGGACAGGAGACTTCTATGCTTCCCCGCCCACGGGGGAGTACATGGAGATCTCTCCCCCCCGCAGCTCCGCCCTGCCAGGGGTGTGCAGCACCCAGAGGAAACTGCTGGCAGTTCCCTCTGGTGACGTGCACCCCTGGCTGGGAAGGAGACCTCACGCTTTCCCCCGCCCCCAGGCCCTGATTGCCTATCAGAAAGAGGCACCAAAAGTGGGGAAAAGAGAAGGGGGAAATGGGGGGGAGCAGCCTTAGAAGCCGGTTCATTCAAGCTCCGTGAGAGGGGGCAGAGGTTCAGGGGCAGAGGTTCACCTTTGAAATGTACAAGAGTCCCTGCTGGGGCTCTTGCTACACTTCAAAGTGGAAGCACCCTTATCGACTAATCGAAAAGTCAATGGAAATTCCATCGACTATTCGATTAGTTGATTAATCTGATTTAAAAATCCCTAACTACCAGTGTCAGGAGCAGAAACAAAAAGATCCAATTTAGTCCCTTGCCTTAAGCACTAGGCCATACTATTTCTACTGTACATTTGAGAGCAACGAGACAGAGATGCATGATGCCAAAGAGAGCTTATTGAATAGCCTGTAAAAATACTCTCTTCCACAAAGTGCATCTCTACTTTTCAGTTCACCCTTACATGCTATTAATTCAGCAAACACAAGATGTGTGTCTGACTAATTGAGCAAAGGGTGCTCGTGGCAGAGCTATTAATATCCATCCCCAAGAACTGAAGGAAAAATAAATCTTGAAGTAGAGAGAGTTTTTTCTTTTCACTGAAATGATCAAACCCCCAAACTGACCCTAAAATTCTCAGTTGCCTAGTAGAACGTCCTGATAGCCCCTGGTAAATGAAGAGCCACTATTCCAAAGCAATCTAGGAGTCACACCCCTCCAGTTTATAGAGGCATGTGCCAAGCTTTAGCGACTCCCTCATTTCAGTCAACAAAACAGCAGCGGCAATAAATCCCAAATGTTCAAAATACTGCTGAGCTGGAACCCTCTGCTGGGGTAAGAAAGTTTGTCAGTTTGTTTTGTAGAACTGACATTGACAAAGCCACAGGGTGAGACTATAGTAAGAATAGCTTCCAGTAGACTTTGTTTCCCCTCTAGGTTTTCCATAAAATGCCAGCAGCCTAACTGGCCTAACCTGAAAGGAAAGATGGTCCAGTGGTTAGAGCATCATTCCAGGACTTGGGAGACTGGCATTCAATTTCTTGCTCTACCACACGCTTCCCATGGGAACATGCAAAAAAGAGCTAATAACACCATCCCACCTGAAAAGATGTTGGGAAACCACAAACTAATCTTCAAGATAGAGTGATAGTTACAATGGTCCTTCTAGCCTTGGAATCTATCTAGTCTGACTTCCTGTATAAAACAGACTCCAGAACTGCTCCCCAGATAATTCCTAGAGCAGATCTCTAAGGAAAAACATCTAATGACCAGAGTCACATCTGATTACTTCACAATGGGGGACCACATAGGTAACAATGTATCAACTCAATCTTGAATTCCCCAAGCAAAAGAATTTTCCACTGACTTCCGTAGGAGTTGTGGGCATGTCAGGTCTGTAAAATCTAACCCTGGGCTTAGAAACCAACAGTAAAAGTTATTCATTGGCCCAGGACTTCAGGCATAACACAGAGCACCAGCCTCATACCACACAAGTACATAAAACACATACATCAAGGCAGCAGATTTTTACATCCCCAGTGGACAGTGAAAGACAGAAGAAAAAGAAAAACACACACACACACACACACACACACACACACCCACACACACGGAAAGAGTAAATGAAAAATGTTGCCAGCCCATTGCCATCTCATGACTAACTAGATGTTATGGGAAAGCTTTGTACCTTTCCTTCAGAAAGTCTTCAAATTCTTTGCAGTTCTTCCTCCCCTCATTCAGATGTTGAATGATGCTGTCGTAGCCAGCTGTGCTCGTTAAATCGGTACTCTGGAAGCAAAACAAACAACAGGTCACTCTGGCATCAACCCAGATCATTGCCAAGATCGCTTCTACTTGGCGTTTAAGATGCTCACCATTTAGCCATTCCTAATGTTTTCTCCCGTGTCTGAAGAACATAAGAAATGAGATCCCTGTGTTCTGCCCTGGAGAAGGTCTCAGTTGAGGAAAAACTGCAACCTCAGGCAAGGGTCTATGCTGGCTTTCAGGAAAATGGAAGTCATGCTTAAATACTGCTGTACAGAGATTTAGTACAGAGTCTTGCACAATGGGGCTCTTGACTGATATTTGTAAGCTCTCCAGGAAGATAAATAATAGAAATATCCTCAACTTGCAAAGGTGACATCTCTAATTATCTAAGGTAATTATATGGCCCCATCACATTCTTCTCTAAGTGCCCCCATGCTCTTTAACACATGTACCCTCCTGTGAAGAACAGCAGTGCTATTACACCCCATTTGCACAGGGATCTGAGGCTCAGGCAGACTAAGGAACTTGACAAAGGTTTCACAAAAATTCTGTGGCAGAGTAGGAATGGAGCCAGACTCTCCCATGGCCCAGGTTAGTGCAGTAACCTGCCTTCTTCTATACAAGAATCCTGAAGGAGATGCCACAAGCAACATCTGATTGGAGGATGTTCCCAGCTTAAAAGAAGAGCTCCGTGTTGTGTGCATGACAGTTTGCAATGTTCAAGAAGACACAAACATGTAGTCAAAGAGTATACAGAAACAAGCAATAGGAAAAGGAAACTGTGGTAGTGATAGGTATGCAGTTTTCAGACAGGAACTAGAAGCCACAGCCAAACACATAACAGGAAGACCAAAGTGAAAAGAGGAATAATGCTAGGACGGAGGTTAAGGAAATGGTTCAAAACCAAGATGATCAGAGATGACTGGAGGGGAGGAGGATTTCTAAAAGGTCTGCACACCAGCGCAAGCAGCCAGAGAGAATAAGCAGAAGTCGCAGCAGCACTATCTGCACACAGCAAGGATTTCAGCACTGCAGACTTCACCAATGCATGTCAAGGAAGTGAAGTCAGCCATGGCTACAGATCGAGGACTCTCATACAGAGCTGGTGAATACTAAGACTGAAACAGGAGGGCCAATGAGATTATGAAGGTGTTTGAAGTAACCTGCAACAGGAGGCAAATTCCCAGCCACCCTGCCCTATGAAAGCTAGTCACGTCAGCGCCAGGCAACTGTAAGCAGATGACATGAGATTTGTTGTGTGGAGGGGAAGCCTTAGCAAGAGCAGCAGTTAAACATGGCCCTGGCTAGCTGGCCAGAATGAAGAAGGTTTGTATCTCAACAGGGTGCCCTTGTAGCCAACGAGGCTAACAGCATATTGGGGTGCATTCGGAGGAGCACTGCCAACAGATCTAAAGAAGTGATTATTCCCCTTTATTCGGCACTAGTGAGGCCACATCTGGAGTACATGGAATATTCTGGGCCCCCCATTACAGAAAGGATGCGGATGCATTAGAGAAAATTCAGTGGAGGGCAACAAAAATAATTGAGGGACTGGAGCACATGACCCACGAGGAGAGGCAGAGGGATTTGATTTACAGAAGAAAAGAGCAAAGGGGGATTTGATAGCAACCTTGAACTACCTGAAAGGGAGTTCCAAAGAGGATGGTGAAAGGCTTTTCTCAATGGTAACAGATGACAGAACGAGGAGCAATGGGGGAGGTCTAGGTTGGATATTAGGAAAAACTATTTCCCTAGGAGGGTGGTTACCTAGGGAGGTGGTGGAATCTCTATCCAAGACCCGGCTTGACAAAGCCCTGGCTGGATGATTTAGTTGGGACTGGTCCTGCTTTGGGCAGGGGGTGGACTCAGTGGCCTCCTGAGCTCTCTTCCAACTCATTCTGTAAGCCTGTTGCTGCGCATTCTCAATGGCATGGCCTAGAGCGGTAAGAACTCAGTTCCCTTCCAAATCTTTTGCTGTTGAAGGCAGGGTGGAACAACTCCAGGCCGGGGTGACTTGCCCTCCAGCTAGGTCATGTAAGAGTTCCCTCCCTCCCTCCCTGGGTACCAGAGGTAAAATAATCAAAGAAATGTAGGTTTTTCCCTTTGCTGAGGGAGGCCCCGATAAGCAGTAACCTTTCCTAGCCAGCTCTCTCCCACAGAGTCAGAGTTCAAGACCCGCTCCCCATCCCAACCAGAAAGCAACTGCACCATGCTTTCCCTTTTAGCTCCCCTTTCAAAGCCTGACACCTGCTTTAGGTGTTATAGGGTGAAACTCTGGGTTCTGAGCTGTGAGGTCAGGCCATCACAAAGCCATTTTACAAAACTATAGTTTTGTGAAGACCCGGCAGATCGGCATCTACCAAGCTGATTCTGGCCCGAAGAATAGCCTTTGCACCCTGGTAGCAAAAATCATGCAAAAGCAGAAGGAGCCTAGATTAAGAACATAAGATCTAAAGCTTCAGAGGGGTAGCCGAGTTTGTCTGTAACAGGAAAAACTTAAAACACAACAAATAGTCTAGTAGCACCTTAAAGACTAACAAAACATGTAGAGGATATTGTGAGCTTTTGTGGGCACAACCCACTTATTCAGATGACAGGAGTGTTAGAAGTCTAGATCCAAGAAACATAAGATCTAACATCCTGAATCAGACCAATAGTTCATCTAGTCTAGTATCCTGTTGTGACTGCGCGTTGGGGGTCCCCCGTCTCCTGCACCCCCGAAATGGCACAAACAGACTCCGCCAGCCAGTAGAATAAAGGTGGTTTATTGCTTCTCCAGTATACAGCACAGCACAGATGTCATCAGGTTACAGGGCAGGCCTAGGATGCCTCAGCCTCCCTTGATATGGGGCAGGGGTCTCAGCTTCTAAACCCCTCAGCCTGTTGCTGAGGCTGCTTCCTCCATGCTCCCAGACAGAAACTAACTAACCCCCTGCCCCTCAGCCAGGGCAGCATTCACCTTCCTTTGTTCCTCTCCATGGGGGTTAGCTGGTCGGACAGGATGCGAGATCCCTTTGCATAATGACCCATCCCTGTCCTTCTGGGCTGTGGTACTGGCAGCAGCCAGTGGGGGTTACCACAGACCCATAGAAACCAGCAAGTTCCCCCCCCCACTACGTCACACCTGTCTTTTGACAGCAGTAAGTATCAGACTTCAGGGAGAGGATACAGATCAGGGCAGCTAGAGAGATCCATCCCGGGGTTGCCCTCCTGGTTTCTGGCTGGCAGAGGTTTAGGGTCACCTCAGGCATGGGGTGGTGTCCCTAACCAGCTTAATTAACAGCTACCAATGGACCAATCCTCCATGAACTGACCCGAATCTTCTTTTAACCCAGTTATACGTTTGGCCATCACACCAGCCCATGGCAATGAGTTCTACAGACTAGTGGAATGTTGTATAAAGAACTTCCTTTCCTTGTATTATATCTGCTGCTTGCTAATGGCATTGAGTTACCCTTGGTTTTTGTATTATGGCAAAGGGTAGAATCATAAAATACTAGAACTGGAAGGGACCTCGAGAGGTCACCAAGTCCAGTCCCTTGCCTTCATGGCAGGACCAAGCACCACCTAGATCATCCCTGATAGATGTTTATCTCCCTGCAGATGGAGTTTCCACGACCTCCCTAGGTAATTTATTCTGCTGTTTAACCACCCTGACAGTTAGGACATTAGGAAAAATGTCCAACCTAAATCTCCGTTGCTGCAATTTAAGCCCATTGCTTCTTATCCTATCATCAGAGGTCAAGGAGAACAATTTTTCTCCCTCCTCCTTGTGACACCCTTTAAGTAATTTTCAAGTTCCTATGTCCTCTCTGTCTTCTCTTTTCCAAACTAACCAAACCCAGTCCTTTCAGTCTTCCCGCATAGGTTATGTTTTCAAGACCTTTAATCATTTTGGTTGCTCTTCTCTGGACCCTCTCCAATTTCTCAATATCTTTCTTGAAGTGGTGGTACCCAGCCCTGGACACAATACAGGCAGTCCCCGGGTTACGTACAAGATAGGGACTGTAGTTTTGTTCTTAAGTTGAATTTGTATGTAAGTCGGAACTGGTACATATTGTAGGGGAAACTCTAGCCAAACATTTCTCCAGAGCTCAGTTTTATTCTCCCACACCTCACTTCCCTCAGTCCTTTATTCTCAAGCTAAGGTGTCTGCTGAGAAAAGCCGCTCCACGTCTCCCTGGTCTGCTGGGGGGAGGGGGGGCGCTAGCTTCACCCAGTTTGTAAGTAGGGATCCGATGTAAGTCGAATCCATGTAACCCGGGGACTGCCTGTACTCCAATTGAGAGCTAATCAGCACAGAGTAGAGCGGAAGAACGACTTCTCATCTCTTGCTCCCTATTTGACACACCATTCATAATTGTATAGACCTCTCATATATTCTTTCTCCATCTTTTTCCTAAACTGAACAGCCCTAATCTTTTTAGTCTTTCTGCATGGAAGCGGCACTGTACCTTCAATCACACCTGTTACCCTTTTGAACCTTTTCCAGTTTTTATAGTAGACTGGGTGGCAGCACTGAAGGGGGGAGGGGGGTCCCCATGCAACTCTCAAAGTTCAAACCCCAGAAATCCCCTTCCCTAAGAAGTATATTTACAGGGTAGCTACGGGGCAGGTAAGAGGAACAAAGGAAGCAAGGCTCCTGACCTCACCCAGGTAGGGTTACAAAAGGACTGGAGAGCCCAAGCCTAGTAATAAGCAAGCCTCAGCAAAGGACAGGGGAGATGTCAGACCAAGATCGCCATCAGCATACCCCAGTGAAGCTGGTTCAGCACTGAGAAGTCCTGGTCTAGCACCTACTCAGCTGTACTCTTCTCCACAGAGCAATTCTGGCAACTCTTTCAGGGACTCCCACTTCTCCTTGGCTTCTTCTCATTTGACTCTATCCCCAACTAGGCATGGAAAATCCTGTTTAATTAGTTAAATGTTATCTTTAGTGGGTTAACTGATTAAACAGGGGCAGGCAGGCTGCAGTGGTCCCATCACTGTGGGCGGGGGCTACTCTGGCCAGGCGTGCCCAG